CCCCCCCCGCCCACAATTCAACCTCAATTTAGAATATCAAATCTCCACGCGCGCACTAAACAACGACCACCCAAAAAACCCCAAAAGAGACCTCAAAAAATAGCAAAAAACAAGCCCAGCTCCCGCTGGCTCAGACTAACTCTGCAACTCTACATCTCTTTGATGTCTCTCTGAGTTGAGGATGTTGGTTTATCTCGCAATTCAGTGGCCCCACCACTTGACCATTTCTACTGATTTTGCTGGGAGGAGGAGCGTTATTTGTTGATGTAAAACTCGGCGGGGTTGGTGGGTGGTCGGGTGGTTGGGTTATATTCGGGTCGAGGTAAGTGGTCAGCTGGTAACCAATTGACCGTGAGGACCTATCTGACGATAACAAGATTCGTCTAAATCAAGTAACCTTACCGTCTGTGCTAGAAAACTGACCTGATATGGTGGTACTGTAGACCGGGATATTAATTGGTAATATCAGTTCCCTAAGATAATAAATATCGGGAGAGACCGCCGTATTGCCGCTTTACCTACGATCAGGAGTGGATTCGAATCATCGATTCAAAACGAAGGCTTGAGTTGAAGTAGAACGTAAGATTCACAATGAATATACCTAAGTGGATTCAAATCCTCTAATCAAATATTAGAATCCCGCCTCAAAACGTCTCAATTCCCTCATGCACTAATAACGCCATAGCAGATACAAACCGCACACAAAGCATAGTATAATACGTCAGTCATCTGTTTTCTTGTGTCAGGAATACAGATCAACACTTAGAAGGCGAACGTACCTTCCCTTGAAACGAGCAATCCAAGACAAACCACCTAAAAATTATATCATATCAGAGTAAGCCACTAACTGATTGACATCAAATCTTCATCCTTCAAGCACTGGAATAACTACTAGAAGATCATTTCATCTCCAAGCATGAACTAATAGAGTTAGTACTCCCGTATAGGCATCTCCTCCTAACCATCTCTGGACTCCTATTTCCCTCCCCCCGGGTGGGAATATACATCTTCCTCTCATTATCATAAGTCCCACTTCTCCGCTTCGCATCCTCTACTAAGCGGTACCTCTCGTAGTTCTCCATGTATGTATCGTCAGCACTTTTGTACTTGGTTTGCCGAACTTGGTAGCGTGTTGGTGTATCTACAGGCTCTGGTGTCTGTTCTCGACCGCGGCTAAGGGCTTATTGCATGTTGGCTCTTGGGGTGGTTGTGAGGGTGAGGGAGGGTTGACTCGGCGTGAGGGGTAAGAGGAGCGGGAGGTGGTTCTGGTGCTACTGAAGGGGCTGGGGACGTCCATGGTGGTGGTTTTAAGAGGGAGGGGAGGGATTGGTGGTGAAATGAGATGTAGGAGCGAAAAGAAAGAAATTGAGGTTGTAAATGGGGTATGAAGCGATTAGCTAGCTTATTGAAAGAAGAGAAAGGAGAAAGGTTAGGAGATAAAGTTGAACTTGCGTTGTTGAGAATAGCATGTCATACAGCGAACCTCATGACTCTTATATGGACACTGACATCAATGTTAGTATTGTTTCCAGGATAAGCTCAGAAAAAGGCCATGGAGATCCATTTGACGCTACGATAGCTTAGCCGCTTCGTCGAAACAGGCGTAATTCCAACGACTTAGAGACCTAGAAACGTAGCGTATGGGAGGGAGGCTGCAAAAGGCAAGCTAGATCCACAAAATAAGAAGGGGGGTTCAGAAAATGGAAAAGTCTCTATAGTTTTATGGCACAGCTATGGTCATTACCAATGCAGAAAAAGAAAGGAGGTGGTTTTGAACCTCTCGTGATCCTGTACCTTGGACGATGGGGTAAAGGGGGAGCGACTGAGAAGAATGATTGCCATGTTGCACGTCCCAGAGCATCGTTTCTGATTTCAATTGAAACCGTCCGAAAAGGAATTAGACAAGATACAGATACAAAAATCGACCTCAAAATCGAAAACAATACTTGCACAACGAAGGTACCGAGCAGCTGGTTCACTGGGAAAGGGGTGATAATAATATGCAAGATAGATTGATACGTCCCGAAATTGCAATCCAGATGCTCAGTTCTGATTTCAACTACGCTCTCAGAACCATACAAGTGAAGAATTGTAGAAATTATGAAACTTGGGCGAGTGGGTGGGCCTTTGGGTGGCACATGAGGCTCTGTTTGACGCTTGTCGCGAGCACCACGGTCGTCATGATGTCGTGATGAAACGGAATCGCAATTTTATCTCGTCATGATTAATGTAATGATCTGACGGTGAACGTGCTTGGTTTGCGGTCGATCTGAGCGATAGTCACTGTTGGGCTGGGCTGGATGTTGCGGTCGGGAGTGTGGAAGAGACGGAGAATGATGGAGACCTTGATACACAAACAAAGCGTTGACAACATTTTGGCCTCAGCCTCCGCTATTTCCGAGGGCTTTTTTGGGGGGCCAAAAACGTATAGAGAGGGGGGAGGTGGCGCCAGGAGGTGTACTCCTGAGAGGACAAGAATCGTGGCTTCCCTTCTCGATGCAGACCGTGTTCTCGGCACTCTTCGAGAGTTATCTCCTCCCGATTCTTTGTCCCATAAGGAATGTATTTAGCGTATTGAGGGGCGTGTACTATGATAACCCTCAAATCCCCCCTTTAGTTAATTAGACTATTGTAACCGTCATACCGTAGAACTGAGGGTTACCATTATAGCAGTTATAAATACGATTGTATACTCTATAACATGCTTTTATTATGGCTTTATAAGGTATAGGATAAGTAGGGTAGTATATAGAATGAGAAATAGAAGATAGGCTGTCAATACTATGATAGTATACTACTCTATATAAAGAAATTCTCTTTAGCCTACTTGCTTTTTGAACGAAAGTACCGGTATTTGTCCCTTTCTATTATAGATATAGCCTGCTTAGTAAGCAATAAAAGAAAACACCGAAGGAGTTACTTCAACCTATAAGTTAAAACGTATACTCTAGAAGAGCTTCTTTTGTTTTGAATCGAGGACTTATGTAGCATTATACTGTGATGAATCTTCAAGGGAGAGGTTTGCCTTAGTAAAACTCTACCTTTTATTATTAATTAAAAAAACATTTCGGAAGTGAGAAATCTACCATAGGAGAACTATATCACATGGTCTAATCAACAACTACCTAAAGGTTTGATTAAATAACTATGCTTGTAGCAGAGGCGTGTGAAGTGGTTCCTAGTAAACCTCCTTAATATGTATTATTTTAGTTTCATATTTTACTTCTACTTTATACAGACTTAACAAACTTATAATTATAGACGATACCATGTTTGACCCAAAACTCAGACCGTGAATTCTTCCTATATCTCTATATAAAAAGAGACACGTTTAAATCAGGGGTTCGCTAAACACGAAATAATGGCTTGGCGGGACGAGGAGCCGGGAGGAGATAGTCAAATTTCGACCTGTTTGGATCCCTGGAGTTCAAAGAGCGAACGCCGCACAGATAGAGCAACGCACAAATTCAAGGAATACAGTAAAGCGATTGGGCAATGTGCAAATAGCTTCATCTCCGAGTCACGAGAACCCTAATTCCTCTACTTTTGCCATGTAAAAAAACCTTTTGACTCACAACACGATCCCCTTACAACTCGACTTATTATTTCAAGTTTAAGATTAGACTCTTGCTCACAAACTAACCCGTTTCTTCTCGCGGTTTACAGGCAGCATGGCTTTCTCATGAAGCACGTTTTATTCTGCCAAATTAGACGCTTGAATTCCTCTGATAGCCTCGATGGATACGGGAAAATCTTCGATGTGCAACAAAATGCCAACTCATCTCCAGGGTTCTTATCTGAAGCAACCTAACTCTTGTTCTAAGTAACTTTAGATGGTGCCTGAAGCACTCGTAACGCCTCCTCTTCGTCCAAATCCTGTTGAATCCCGGAAATTGCCCATATCCAATAACAATATCTAGCTGTAAAAATAAAAACACATCCATCAACTGTAGCCACAAAAACAACCCCTTAGTTCTAAATGTTCCGCTACGCCAAACAAACTACTATACCAATGGAACTTATTGAACCTCGGTCTCTATCACATTCGCGAGATCCAGTAATATACGTAATATACCGACCAACAAAACAGCCTCGGGCATCCAAATACGAAGTGCAACAAAAATCCCTAACAAGTCCACTCCTTCAATGCCTCGGCATGCTTACAGCCTATGATCTGAGATCCGACGAAAAGCCATACATACAACCTCGGAGCCAACAGCACATCCCATATGATAGAGTGAGTAATCAAGCGGTAAGCTAGATTTCTACCTCGGAAGCAAGAATCGATATGCAACAAAAAGACTTTCTTGTCTTAGGTTCCCGAGGCATATACACGGTACCTGTTTACAATATATCAAAAATCCCTAATATCCCCCCCGAAAGCCAGCGGAGCAGCTTGGTGTTTGTGTCACCAATCCAAGAGGGGAAGCATGACGAAATCCCCAACTTAGGAGTATGAATCGAATATCAAAGCTTTTGTTGCAGATCGAGGCCCCCAGCCCAGGAACATACAGTGGTTTTGTTGCAATTCGCAACCAGTTATTGATCGGAGATAGCACCTTAGCCGGTATGGCTGAGATGAGAGATGGGACAGTTTGTTGTATATCGTGCAACCGGTCATTGACCGGTGATCTCCAATATTTCTCCAGCTGAACATTTTTGCCAAATGAGGTACGCTCTGGTATCATATCATTGCACCACGTGCATCCGAGAAGTCCTAGAACACCTAGAAGAATTAGCGCAATTATTCTTGCTGGAAATAATCGTTTGGGTTCCTATTAGTTGATTGTACAGATTGGATAAACAAAATGTTTATTCGAGGGCTTTTGGCACAACTCGGAGTTTACCTGGACCCACGCCAGTAAAAACCCGGAACTGACTCCATGTGCGACTTTCTGATAGCAAACCGGGGATCATGTCTTTCGGATTACTTTGCTGACTTCTAGCTCATCTTACACCAAGTCACAATGATATTGGAAGTTTGTTTAAATTTGGACCCTGATATTCTAGCTTGTAGAGTGCGAATATATTGGAACGTAGTGCTCGTCTGCATTTCCATGCCAAACGGTCCCTCGGCTTTCCTTGTCATGGCTTCGATTAGATGCATCGAACTTTAGCCACGAGAAATTCGTTCCCCGTGCCGATTGAAGTCGCAAGTGATCTGCCAACTCCAAGAGAAATCTTCTCATCTTGGTCTGTTCTCCTCGCTCAGTTCCCCAGCCGAAGAGTCAGGGCCATCAGACTCGCATAAGCAGCAATGCTCAATGCCGTCAATACCGCAACAGCATTCCCACTGGTCCTAAACTTCTTCCTTCCCATCCCCGCGTCATCCACTTCACTAAAGAACTGCCGATTTCCTTCATATCGCCTACACATACTAACCAACAATATGCCGGCACCATATGTCGCAAAAAGTGCGCCGATAGAGTAAAATTCCGCTGTGAATATCTTGAGAACTACGAGGGCGAAGGAAAATTGTCCCAGAGCTGTGCGGACATAGGCTCCTTCGAAAGTTCGTTGGGCGGCGCGGATTTCGACGAGTCTGGGTCGGGTGTCAACTCATGATACCTGGGCAAGGGAGAAGGGAGAAGAGAGCATTACTCCTCTGCTGTCAGAACCACTGAGCGGGCCCGGTGAAGACGGAGATGCAACCGATCTTCTGGATGAGGCTGGATGGCATTCATTAGATCACTCATGGTTTAAGAAAGAGCTTCTCAACACAGCAAATATGCCCACTCCATGGCTGGTTCAGGCTGCCACTGAGGCTGAGGCTGAGACTGAGGCTGAGACTGAGGGCATTCACGATTCCATCAACGGATCCTAGAAATGACGTGCGAGCGACGAGGACGAATCGATGCTGTACATACCTGGAACATCGCATGCCATCCAGCCGTGGTAGCCATATTGGGCGGTGCGCGGTGCGCGGTGCGCGAGGGGTGAATGTGGGGGTGTCCGACTGTGTCAAGCCTATCAGGCGTTTGCTTCTGCAGCAATGGGGAGAGCCAGGAGGATCTTCCGCGCGTGGGGTTGGGGTTGGGGTTACAATCAGACTCCGACACCTGTCTGATAATACCAGAAGCTGCCAATGATGCCGAGTGCGAGTTCAAATCGCCATTACACAATGCTTTGTTGGAGGTGAGCTTTGGAATCCCCATCCCCATCCCTGGCTCCGGTCCGTGGTCGCCGTTAATCTTGGCGTTACTATAGTGGAACTTAACCGGAGAACCTCGGATTTTCAGCCATCATTCTTAATTTCGTCTTTACACTTGTACTTGTTGAAGAATATCTGTCAATGGGTAGGTCAAACCACTTGAAGCCTATCACAAAATTGGACATCTGGGTACGGATATACCGTGTCATCCGTCTCCTGTCCGCACGTTAGAAACGTACCGAACCTTATTTGGCAGGTGGTACTAACGTTACAATTGAGACTTCACATGTAAAATGGGGTACGGAGTAGAGGACAATATTGACCCCACTATCTCTCCGGAGAGCACAAAGCATCTCGATTTCTTCTACTTAAAAGCCGCTCAATGGCATCGCTGCTCCCCAAGTCGCCTGAGCTTTTCCCGCAGGCGAGAACCAATACCCCCTTTTCTCGGACCCCCTTAAAATCTTGCCTTGAGGTTTTGCATGCACTAGTATTTCAGACTTCAGTTCCTAATTCAAATCCAGCTGCGACGCCCCGAACCCGAATTTCTAGTACCTATTCGACGTCTCGCAATACCAAATGCAAAATCGTGTCGTTTCGTGAAATATCACTGGGTAGAAGATACAATATACAGGGGCGATGGCGGATGCTGAGACTCCGCCTCAAGAGTTTGATATATCAAGTGTTCATCCGACAAAAGCTCTTTCCCAGAAAGAAGTGCGGTCGTGTCGAATTATTCCCATATCTCCAAACGCCATTCCCGGATTTCTAAGTTTCCCATATCTCCGATCCAGCAATATGAAGCTCCAATTGGCTGACACCTTCTACGCTGCTTCGCTTACTGTTTTTCCTCCCGTTTACCGACCCGAATGCCCTTGGTGCGGTGCATAGTACACTCCACTCTGAGGTTCAGCATAGTACGCAGGAGTTGGTGCTGATGCATGAGTACTCCCCGAGTACTGAGCTGGCCGAGGAAGTCCTTGATTGTTGTTCCAACCATGATAATTGTCCTCGCCAGTTGACCCAATTGACTTGGGATAATACGGTTGCTGCCACGATCCGTATGGTGCCGGAGGCAATGAACCCGCTGAGTGAGGATGAGGAAGCGGGTCGGTAGTGGTTGGAGAGGTAGTTTGAGCCATCATACTACTAGCCGACAGTGGTGGAGGATACATTGCCGGAAGTTGTTGAGAACGAGGCTTTGCCGTGTAATGGTCTGGGGGAGCTTGCGAGTAGGGGGCATAATTTTGTTGATGATTTTGCAATCCATCCAGATTGTTGTAAGACATCGAGCGCTGTGGTACAGGCCATGACATATCTTCTCTCGGGCTTGGCTCCGTATGAGGAGTTGGCCAATTTTGCGTAGGAGGGATTTGTAGGTTGGGAGTAAATGGTGAGAACGCCGGGGTCAATGGCGAGTCTTGAGCATTTGCGCGCCAGTATTGCTGGGACACATCTCCTGGATTCTTGATGCCTGGCGAAGCATCTGGAGCCATCCAGTTGGTAGTTCCATGGTTATTGTAGTCAAAGTTACGTGCAGATGTGACGACTGCGACTTTGTCAGGGTAATCGTTGATTGCTGAGTTAACCGACAACACACCTTTACTCTCTGGCGAATAACTCTCAGTCCTTTGCCGTTTCATCTGTGGACTGGGTACATTCTGAATTGCTGGCATATGTGGGTAGGGTAAGTTTGACTGAATCTCAGGTAATTGGCCTGTCGAAGTCGTGGGCGAGGAGGATTCGGAGGCTCTTCCTGTACCACTGTGGCTCTTTGAATCTCCGCGCCTTGTATCTGGCTGAGGCTGAGATGGAGGCTGTTGATCCACGGGATAAAAATTGCATTCCTTTTTCAGTCTGATGCAATTCGAACATCGACTTTGAGGGTCGGCTGGTGCTGGAATGCATCGAATCTTCCGTCGCCGACAATGGCCTATCTATCATCAGTTTTCTGCTACTCGCCTTCAGATCCACCAGCGATTCTGTTCTACACGCGTTCACCACTTACCACATGCGACGGAGGTTCTATGGTAACCCAATTTGTTTCTTCTTTTGTCTGCCGAGAGCGCAAGCGCAGCTGCATCGGCTGTTGCTTGCCCACGTACGTTTGGAGTAGACATTGATCTCATTATCTTTGCCAATTTCGATGAGTTTGAGAATCCAAGTCTTTGAACATTCGTTAGTGCTGGCGGTTCTCCTGAAGGCGAAAGTACGGAGTCCAAAGGTAGATGGGGATAGCTGGGAATCAAGTTTTGCGGAGGCTCAAAGTATGAATGTCCCATGGAATTCGATATTTCGTTTGTTTCTGGTGTCGTATACGTGGTACTCAGTTCCCACATTCCTGACGTCGAAGACAGTTATGAAGAAAGTGAATTTTGGACAGAAGTGACTGCCGTCAATTGCGCTCGTATACCATGCGTCTAAATACGCAAACTGAACAGGGGGAAGTTATAGAGTCTCGGAGATTTTGTAGACAACCCAGTTGCGAAGCAAAGCTGCCCAGACACCTCAGATCCTCCAGATCCTCCACGGTCGGAGAGTCTTGCGTTGCGAGGTGAATCCCAAGGTCTAAGGCCCAGAATGATAATAAATGCTGTCTTCAGATCGTCCCCTCGGCCACAAAACCCAGGTAGCGATAGCGAGTTAGTTTTGGAAGGCGGGCCTGATATGGTTTCTACCTAGCAACGGCACGACTATCGGCGTCGAATGACGGACGGCAGTCAACACCGGAGGGGTTGCACAATATAAGGCGGTCTTAGGCGCAGCTCTCGGTGGGGTCGAGGAGTGATGAAAAGCGTCTTGTATCTCTGTTACCGTGGGCACCAGTATGTAAAGTAGTCAAGTACTAAGGAGGAGGGCAGCTAGCTGTGGCTTGAGTTTGGAGAGTGTTCCCTTTCCAATGCAGCGGTGCTAATTGTCAGTGGTTCGTTGAGTTTGCTCTCGCGGGATGAAGGGCAGGAAACGCCCCCGTGGGAGCAAATAAGACGACGCCTACACGCCACTTCTCGCAAAAGGTCTCGCAAAGGGTCCCGCAGTAATCTTTATGGTGGGTGGATTACACCTACCGGAGGAGGACGTTGGAGAGCGGCTTGTTGTGGCTCAATGTGTGTAGACTGTAAGGCCACAAGAAAAAAATAAAGAGAGACAGATTGGTCAAGCAAGATTCCAGCCGCAAGTGATGAGAGCGGGGACGGCGGCGTTGGTGAGAGACTTTTGGTCTTGGGTCAACAAGCGTTGGAGGTGGATGAACAACACATCATATCAGAACCTCGAAATTGGAACAGAATAACGGGTCCACCAGAGATCTTCAATGCTAGATCTGATTCTCCGGAATGTCGACAACCATGAGTTCGTGACGGCGCCACACCCCCTGATTCTTCCTAGTGGGTCAGTTTGATGCTTGTCAGCGCCAGGCCTGCTCCCAGCCTCGAGCCCTGGATGAACTTATAATTTTACATGGCATCCAGGGGAACCTTGACGCCCTGTGTTTGTGCCGCTAAGTTTGCTGTTAACTACAGTACGCTTGTGCTTCTATGTTTCTGCTACACCTATCCGTACACTGCTGTTCCAGAGAACCTAAACACTCTCACAACACTTCACCTTCCTCCCGGCGGCAACTAGCTCTTTTCCAAGAAAACCCGAGACTCTCAATATGAAATGCCTTTTGGGGGGTATCGAGGGCAAGACAGATTTCAGAGGCAAAATACCATTTCTACTAACTCAATAGAGGGTTAAGGACACAAGACGCCGCTACTCGAGCTTGCTGAAGAAAGTCGCCTCCGCTTTCTTGAAGAGGAGGGGTGACGGCCCGTTGGCTTCATCAGAATTGTTGGAATGGGAAGGAATGGCCAGGAAGCATGCTGTTGGAATTGCAACTAACAGTGTTGGACGTGATGTTGGTTCTAGTGGCATTTTGAGCCAATCCCACACAACCGAATAGCGCATGCGAGTCGTCACCACTGGTTGGTTCAGAAGGCAATTGAGGGGCGGGTATTATCAGATAATCCTACAGGCCTCCTGTGGATGGAATGGCACCCAGTGTCAGCAACTAGTCGGGCTTGGATTCGGTATCAAAGCCAGATGAGGCAAATAACGTTTCTGGGAGAGGAAAAGGTACGAGCAAGTGAGCAGGCACGAAGGAAGCGAGAGGGCATAGAGGAAGCGAGAGAAGGGCACTTCAGAAGGGCGATAACAGGGGGAGTAGATGGCTCCACCTCCAGTTCCAGCTCCCAGGGAGGCACTCGGGTTTGGTGTTCCCTGTTAGCCTGAATCTAGGTTAACTCTAGCTCATCCAAACTACTGTATGACGCTCGTCTCTCACATCTCACCTCTCCGTCACCGCACGAACTCTTTTGTCACCGATTTGGTATTCAAGGACCATGGCCAAGCGAACTCTTCCTCGTATGGCTTCTCGACCCACCTCAAACCAACTTTGATTGATGCAGTGCGTCGCCCTCCAAAACCATGTACAAGTACACGGGCACAGAAAGAACGTGCAGGCATCGCAGAATGATTGCAGCAGAGGGTTTTCGGCTCATTGCTTCTTTGGGAAGAGCCCGATGCAGAGGTCGCAGCAGGGCATAGAACCTTCCATACCCCCCCCATCGACGGTAGCTAATCGATGGCGACTGGAAAAGCAGCTTCCTTGGCTTATGCTGACTTCGCCGCTTCGAATTGCCTCCACCGGGTTTTATGAGGACTGTGTGACACCACAAAAATGTCAGCTCCACTCGCTTCTCGCACACTGAGTTGGATATGGGGTTTTTGGCAGCTTCCATGTAATTTCCTTCTCCTTGGCAGATGTATGTTCGCCATGCGCCTTCACGTGCTGAGCGCCTTATCCGGGACTTTGGTTACTGCTTCAACACAATTTGTTACAAAAACGGTTGAGTCAAGCTGCTCTGATTGGTACAAGTCTCACGATTGCGCCGCTGATTCATGATGGCGAGGGCCTTGGAAAATAAGGTAGGAAGTCAAATCCTGCGCTTCGGATGATCATAGGTTCCCCACGTCTTGGGATGCTTGAATCGTCGATCAATCAGTTTATCTCTCGCTTCTCGGCAGCCCCAAGTGAACAAAGTTTGCACTTGTGCTAGCCGCAACCATCGACCTGGTTCGCCTCTAATCATTACTGTAGATACCAATGCCCTTAAAAGATCCTGTCATTGGCTGTGGCGAATGTCAACAAAATCCATCCATGAAAGCCTTGGGGACCTTGGCCCATGCTTGTTTTACTATCTGAGGCTTCAATCCTTCCTTAATCGGGATATTAAAGGCGAGTAGTCTCTCAAGTGTATGGATGTTGGTTTTTACCTTGTGGGTCTTCTTAGCGTGAGCACTTGACATCAATTCTACATTTCAATTCATGGGCAAAAGCAAAAGAAGTTTCACAATTCCAACAGCTGGGCCACCTGCAATTTGCTTTGGGCAACAATGTTATATGAGAGGAAGGCCAGTGAATGATCGACTTTCCAGACAGGGGAGGCTAAATATAGATACAGATTGTGATCATGCAGTCTTGACGCACGGCTGCACGCTGCTTGCACATGGAAAAGCTCAAGGGTAACTCGTGGCCGATGCGTCGCGTCTAAGTTGGAAATGTCTGGACCGCACGACATGAGGGTGTGGTAGGTAGTGGGGTGTACTCGAGTACTGTGGGTGTATAGGTGGGATTGTGATATTGCTTCAGTGTTGCTACTGCAATGCACGTCTTTGGGAACGCAGATTCAAGAGGTTGGCTTTCCCAACTAACCCAAGTAGCCATGCGGCCATTGCCTTGATTATCAATTGATGGCTGGCTACAAGTACTGTAGCGGTACGGATATGAACCCAGTTGGTCTTCTACGGACGTATCTCTGCAGCTCCGAAGAGTACTTTAAGGCCCGGCCCTAGGGAATTGGAATGTTTTTGTATGCCACATGACGTTCGTCCCTAGCTTTCCCTTACTTTCCTGGTCTCTCCATTATCTTGAGGAAAATCAGAATCCCACTGACTTGGTACTGGTACTCCATACTATTCTTGATTCGGATGAAAATGGCCAGTGATGTACTGTACAGTATCCGCCGCACGGAGCCACACGGAGCCAGTACGTACGAACCAACACAACCCAGAACTTGAGAAGACTTGGACAATTTCACGTCAGCACTTATTCATCATCACTACAGAGTACATCAGCCCATTCTGCCAGCTGGCACGCTGGCAGCTGCCGCAATGAGCAACCACAGTACGAGTACGATCCGACATCGCCAACGTTTCGTCTAGTCGTGGTTATGTCTGGGTTTCCGCTCTTCTGTCAGCTCGACACCCTCCGTCAACATGCAGACTTTGCTCTGGCATGTCCCAAACGGTACATGTACCTATAAGTTTCTGGTTTATGGACCTCTGGCACCGTGCACGTGTCATCCAAGATTTTGGCAAATGCTCCAAGGGGGCACAGAGGATCACGACTTAGCCGGGTTACCCGACGATACGAAGAAGGAGCAATATCTGCAACTGGTCCTTGCGCCGCTGATCCCAACTTCAACTCCCAACTTCAACTCCAAACTTACCTGGGAGGAACCGCTTCCAACCAGCATTTGCTCGAACGATCCTGGCCCGCCACGAGCTCAGGAGGTTAGAAGCTTTGGGGAATTGGCCCAAGGAAGCATCTCGAGAACTGGTGGTGTGCGACTTGCTTCCGAAGCCAGCATGGAAGCCTGCTGTCGGTAACGGTAACGAGGGAAGGCAGATGGAGCACAACTGGCTAGTTTGGATTTCACACCCACCGAGCACTGATTGGAAATACATGTGTACCTTGGCGTATAAAGAAGTTTACGAATTGTACATGTACACACTGTAGAGTACAGTACTTGCATATGTCCGTGAATGGCTCGTGGGTATGCGATGAACTAACTGCTTTCAATCCCTGTTCTGGCCAATGAATAGGCCATCTTAGACCGGGGAGGAACTACAATCCTGCCCGTCCGATGAGTCGCAGTAGACTGTCTGAGAACTGGCGTCTCACGAACTGGTCCGACATATTTCATCAAAATTTCTTCCTGCACGGTATTTCGACGTGATTTCCTATTTGTTGGCCAGCCCTGGGACTGGCTGTAGCGTCCCACGCTTGCTGCAGAAATTTCCTCAAGCTCTAAATATAGTGTGAAGGGTGATTGGTAGTCACGCGTCAACTTCAGCTCCAAGATTGGTTTCCATTGATAATTTTACTTGGTGTAGGGTCAATGGGTCTCTCTGGTGCGATTAATCGGTTGGTTTACAAACGTCATCCCGCATTGGGCGTCGTTTTTAACAGGACACAACTCCACGTTTCGTATGCCGATTCCTTTATGTGAGACTGTATTTGTATACACCGCAGTTTTCTGCTTCATTGGGGGAGCACTAAGGATGCAAGTGCGTTGCCTGAACGTTCTTTGCGCCCATGCTTAACGAGCAGGATATGCATCATCTGGAATGAGCTGCAATTGCCCCACCTTCAACATAACATAATACTTTCAGTGTTTTTAATATCCTTGTATTCTCAAGGAATGGAGAATGACATGCTTTTTATTTTCGTGGCATTGAAGGATGTTTTATGATAGCAGAACTCTTGCTTCTACATAAGCATCGTCTGCCACGAGCCACACTTTAGCCGGATAAATTGCTTACATAGTCCACATGGTACACTAATCTGCACTGCAACAATATCGACCCAATTTACATGTATGGTGTTGGGCGGCTTATCAGCTATTCTAGCAAGTTCTGATCCATCGGTCTTGCTTTACAGCGAGTCGGTGTAGATTGATCTCTCTTATCACAAGGAACCATTGGGGTTGTATCAAACTAACTAGGTGTGTTGATTGGATTTAGAGTACATTTCTTCGCTTACTGTGTTGATTGCGGGTAATTCCCGACTTTTCTATTGATTTGGTTGGATTCTTGTTGAGTAATGAACATCTGGGATTCTTGCAGGACTTCGAGGAATTCTTTTCGTTTGCCTCTTTAGCCCAGATAGATGGCAATGTCTATTCTAACAATACGTGCAAGTGAACCCCTCTAGCGAGATATAACTTAAATTGGAAATTTCATTCCGCTTGTCTTTGAGAATCTTCTTAGGGTCTTTGAAATGTAGATCTTGAAATACACGCTATTGAAATAGGTTTGTTCGGTTTTATTTGACACGAATATTTGTAAAATACGACGGTCTGGAATTGTCGTTTAATGAAGTGAAGTAAGTGAAGCTCTTGGATTTGTTAGTTTGGAGTATAGACGCACGTCTCATCCGCTTATTTTATTGTTAGGAGCATACTTGTCCTTATATTTTGCTATGCTAATACTATACGCAGAAACAACCGAATCATTTCAAAATTCTACTCAACAAGATACAGAGGTCTTTCCTTCTCTCGTCTCCGTCTCTTTCTGTTAGTACAAGTATACCAAGTCAAGTATATTTAAACTAAGGAGCATCTGGTAAAGTCTTTATATTCGATTAACAGGTAAGAATCTTCAGTTTAGCTAGCTGCTAGAAGGGTACTTGTATGAAAGTGCCAAGGCTAAGGACTTTAATTGGTCAACACTGGAATACCTGCTATGGACTTTTCCACTCACCTTGTTTCTGCTCGAGCAGCATACGAGATGTCAGGAATAGACATTGTTGGAAAATTCTATTTCTGGTGTGCTCGTAACATGATACCTCTCGACTTTAGGAATTAAGACCCGAATGTCACCGAAAAGTCATGAACCCCTCCCCTATAGGGGCGTCGGTATTTAAACCAGAAATAGAGAATTACAATTACCTCCAGTGGCTGCATCTCACTTGGCACTCTACCTCAGCTTAATGACACCTGCGATTTTCGTTTTGCTACCAGCTAAGGCATTTGTCGTGCTAATCGTTTTCTATGAGCTCTCCGCTTGGCTTGACTTTTGAGATAGCTATACGAAGAGGCCACAAAACTTCCAACATGCAAGGAATCAACCATCCAACCTGACAACAGTTCATAGGTCTCGGCTATGATAAGTATATGAAATGGTTAGAAATACAAGGAAACCCGAAATGATTATATGGTTGGAGAACGCTTCGAATTCAAAACATAGTAAGTGAACCTATTAACATATCATGCAGGAGGTATCCGATTCCGATGAATTTAATACCCACTATTATTCCCCTTTGAAGGAGCTGAGGTCCCATAATTCTAGCAGAAAAGAAATCGATTAGTCAAGTTTCAATCAACTGAGCTCAGACTGAAGGGCCAAAACACTTACAATAGATCCAACAGAACCATGATAAGCAGTTCCAGTTGGGTTTGCGCCTGGTTCTGCAACCCCAATCACGTTCCCTCCGTCAACTTTGAATTGACTCATACTGACATTATTAATTTTGCCAGCATTGCCCTTTATATCCTGTTAGCTTAGCAGAGAGGTTCGCTCTTACAAATACATACTAATCCGGCATTCTTTCTTTGCTCTTTGCTCATATCCAAGCCCTTAATCCACTGCTTCAGCTTGTTTGAAACATCTATATACCCAGGAACATAAGAACCCTCGAGTTTTGTCATATCCATATGATATGCGGCAATGGATTGGAGATCGAACCCAAATATGCTTGCTGATTCCTTTGGTACTATAGTCATCGTTTTCTTCCCTAGCTTTCGAACGGGATATTCCTCGAAGAATGTGGCAACTTCGATGAAGTTTCTTGATTCTGAGCGATCTCTGGGTCTGAGAAGTTTTGCGAATGCATCGTTGATGGTTGCTAGCCTTTCTGAGCGTTTCTGTAGGTTCTTGAGGTTGTCACTTTTGAGTGCTACTGACGAGGCTATACAGTCCCTCGGCAAGATGTCCATATTTGGCGGCAGCTGACCCTGCGAAGAGTGTCCCGAGAAAGAGGGTACCGATCGTCATTGAAGATAGATTGGTACTTTTTTCGTCTAGATCACGATAGTTTTGGGAGAGCGCTCTGGCAACTACGAGGCCCCCAAGACTGTGGCAGACGAAAATGACTGGGCGATCAGACTAACGGCATATCAGTAAGCTGCATTTCGTTCAGCTGCCACAGAAAATCGAAAATTAGGCGTACAGAGGCTTTTATAGGGAGAATTCACTTCGAGTAGGAAATGTATCTTATCTTTTGAAAAGCCGGGATATTCGACTCACAGTTTTAGTATTGTCCCTCAACCCAATCAAACTTGTAAATAAAGTCTTGGAGTGATCATCAATTTTCAATTCTTCTGCAATTTCCTCTGGTCCAAATAAATGATAGAGGTGCGCGAAATATGCATTGTAGCCAAAGGACAAGATGCGTGCTGTAGAGCATGCTTCCGGGAGAAGAGTTTTCGGCCAGAACTCTTTGAACTCTTTGCCATCCGCATCTTTGCCTACTCCTGTCCAGGTACCAATCCGATCGCCGCCGAGGCCGTGAACAAATACAATACTTTTCTTTCTGGTTAGCAGTAGGCAGAGGAGAGGGTATGGATCCTCTTTGACAAAGACTTACTCGACCTTTGCGTCCTTTGGATCTGCGAGAGGCTCTCCTAACCCATACCGGGAGTCATTCTTGGGATCCAGTATTTTTGGCTGTGGCATTTTGGTAGCATAAATCGCCCAAAGACCCCAGATTCGCTTGTGATTGAAGGTGAGACAATGGCCGTCTTGTTCAAACTTGTCACTTCAAAGTCTGATCCGAATTCACAACTATATATCAATTTTGGTGTTTTATGATTTCAGCTCATGCAACAGATTATCAATCAATATATAGCTTCAGCTTGTGCAACACATTGGCAGCCTCGTAGACAACTTCGTGAAGCTTTGGTGGCATCTCACAGCCTCATTTTTTCAAACCCCCCACACCCTTCATAATTTCAATGCCAGATAGTAATTGGGTGATCAATAACGTCACATAGACTCAGGAGTTGGCTGCATGATCCCCGACTTCGGTTGTCCCGTCGGAAACTCCCATTTGTCGGTTAAATATCAGGTGAGAAATTTCCCCGCAAATCAAAAGTTTTCCCTTATGTAGGTTACATTTGAGGCTTCTATATGAAGCAACAATTGACGGTAATGTACGGGCGTGGCTTATGCGGAGTGGGCTTATGTGTAAGCGATTGACGAAATAGGCTGGAATCCCTTCGCCGAACATGAACTTTTCGGCGTTTTCCATGATTTGTAGTATTGGTGGCTGCCCACGATCTCACTTCGAAGGCTGAGTGAAAAAGACTGCTTGAAAATAATATGGCGGTGCCAAAACATTGATGACAAGCCTAGAGTTAAAAAGCTACTGCCGCATTGGAGCGTCACCAGTGTTGTTCTGTAACCCATTCTTGGGTTTTATCCTCGTCCTTGAAACTTGCCAACTGAGCTTTCTATGATGGTTATCCATCTTTGTGCTATCTCTTGTCGTTACGGAATGATGTCTTCCCATGGCAGGAAGACCACCTCCATCTCCGCCGGATAGTGGGGACCCTCCGAAAGGAGGCGGCAAAACGAACAATGTGAATTTCCACGACTTCACCGTTGCCAATGGGGGAACTGCTAATGGGGTTGTTTACAATTTCGCGAACGATGGTATCAAAACCGTTGAGCAACTTGCTGCAGCGCTGAAGGACGTCGCATCTAACAGCCGAGCCACGAGCGAGAGAATAAACATCATCCGAGAGAAGCTCGATGACACGTCAAAAATACTAAGAGCCATCTCGAATCTGATTGAGGATGACGCCAAAGTGGAGGGAATTGACTTGTTCGCCCCCGACACGCCAAAGAACGGTCATGGCGAGGATGATTCCGAACCAAATGATGTGGAGGAAAGCAAAGTCGCTAAACTTCCAGGGTTCACCCATCTGAGAGAAGCTTTGGAAGAATGCGTGGTTGTATTCAATAGTATGTCTGAAGAAGTGACCCATGGCAACGGCAGCCTCTCAGTTGAGTCCGTTCGTATCATGGAGCTGAAAATTGGGAACAAGCAGACGGCTCTCCAACTTTACCTGCAGCTTTTCATTAGTCACATGTGAGTATGATTTCTTAGCATGGTATCTGCTCTCAATAGCATATTCGAGTAGCAATAGTTAGCTCTTTTATTGGCCTAACCGTATGAGATAATACGCGATTATTCCTAGAAGTCTGAGTTCTGGCTTAAACTAGATTGATAAAGAAGAGTTCTTTTTGCCCTATAAAAATTCCCTGCAGACTGTTTTAAATTAGCACCAAAAATGATTCGCTCTACATGAAAAAAGAATTCATGGATCTCGCAACGAAAAACAGAGCCTACGTTCTACTCCTGACAAACATCCTCGAGCAAATCAAGAACCTACAACCTCAACCAGCAGCCCCAACAACCCATCAACCAAAGGTACCTCCAAAGGTCGACTTACCCCTGGACATAAAACCTCTTAACTTCCCCGACATCTCTCGCTTAGCACCCCTTTACATGGGCTAGAAAATCCGCAAAGCAAAACCATCAGACCTATCCCCAAACTCCAAATTCTCCAACGCGGAGCCATCATGGAATGTGGTGGTGAGGAACACAATGCACTTCTCAACCGAGGAGTTCTTCTTGAAAGTCCTTGCGCAAGTTTCTCGTCGAGTGAAGAAGAATCGTACGCTGCAAGACGAATACAACGCTCTCAAATCGCCGATGCAAAGAAATCAGGTTGATAGACTGGTGAAGGATAAGAATGAAGTGTTGAAGAGGGAGTTCCCGCAGCTTGAGTGGAAACTGGCGGGATTGGAGAGTGTTGTGAGGAATACGGGGATATTTACTGAGGAGACGAAGAGAATCAAGGTTATACTAAAGACTCAATGGGTTCCTGGAGTAGAAGTCGTAGGAGATAGGGGAGGAGGCGGTGGTGGTGGTGGAAATAGGTTGGGTGGTGGTGGTGAACCATTGAGCGGTGGTTATCATAGAGGTGGGCCAGGGCGGCCTCCTCTTAGTCCGTTGGGCGATGGACATGTTCATCCTGTAGGATACCCAAATTTAAATCCCTTCGGACCAAGTGTCGGAGGGACGTATTACCCCAGAGAGTATCAATATCAACCTCACAATGGTTTCCGAAAAGAAACCGACTATACTGGATATCATACCTATGATTTTATGCCTCGCACTCCACCGTACAACGCAAGTCCTGATTTTTTCGAAGAGCATTACAGACCTTGTCGGAGTAACAGAAGGCATAACTCCCCAATAAGAAGAGAACGATACCATTCCAAATCTAGAGAATCCGCTTCCTGGTACGAACCTGGTCCTCCCCCTCATCATCCCCAAAGTTACTACCACACCCCAGCATCCTACGCTGAATATATCCCTCAGACTTCAAACCCCTTCGTTGGAATATCCTCATCTCACTATGGTCCGCCGCCATCACACCCTCATCCAAACCCCGTATTCGACCACCCATCCAGACCGCCTCCACCACCACCGACATACACACCCAACATGCCCCTCGGGCCCCGTAACGAAATAATATACGAATCGTTCTCAAGCGCTCTATCTCGAGTCCGCGCAGAAGTAACATCCGAAATAGAAGAAATAGTAGTAGACTCCCTCCTGGCATCTTGGACGGAACCCGCCGACCGCAAAGGGAAACGGCGAGCAGATTCTTTCACGAGGGAGAGAAGTAGAGACACGTCATACGGAAGAGATTGGGCTATGGGCCGTGATATTAGACCTTCGCTTCCATATCCAAGTCGCGAATATCGTCCTGAGTATGGCTATCGCTTGGCGCCCGGTTATCATGGCGAACCTCATTTTGATTCGAGGTACCAGTCAAGGCCGGATTATTATCCAGAGGGGCAGTATTATTCTGACCGTTCACATTATCGTCGGAGCAAATCGCCCTTGAGATACGATTCATACGACGGTGGCGGCTATTCCTCTGAGAGTGACTACGATGATATTAGACGAAGGATGAAGAAGGAATTCGTCGATGCAAGAGCACGAAAAGCATTAAAAGAGAGGGAGATGTGGGAACGTGAGAGGGAAAGAAAACACAAAGAGTATTTGGATCGACAAAGATGGGAAAGAGAGATGTTTGAGAGAGACTTGAGGGAAAGAGATAGGCGGGATCGTTTGGAGAGAATGGAAAGAATGGAAAGGGACTTGAGAACTTCGGCAAGAAGAAGCAATGATGCTGACGAGCATATAGAAATTAGACCAGAGGGTGGTGTGCGTAGGACCCAATATGACAGTTTTTACGAGGAGTGGAGAAGAGAAAGACCTGAAAGGGAGAGAGTAGTAAGAGGGGAATCTAGCAGAACACAGAGGATGCCAGAGAGGCATGATGGCAGAGGAGATTATGGCTTGATACGAGTTACGGATGACCTTTTGGGAGGAGACAGTGAGAGTGAAGCTAGCAGAGACAAGGACCACCCAAGAGAGAGAGGGTATCCAAGAGAAAGAGAGTATCCGGGCGAGAGGGAGCACACAAGGGAAAGGGTTCCAAGAGAGAGAGAGTACCAAAGAGAGAGGGAGTACCCAAGAGACAGAGACAACAGAGGAGAAAGATCTGGACCGAGTTATTATATAGAAAGGGACATAGGGAGGAATAACTTACATGAACATATGTAACTCAACAAAGCAAAACATCGCCTTTAAATTCAGCAACACACGTGGGGTGGAAATCCCACGAAACCAACATACTGACATCCCATAATCCCACCAAAACCCAGCCATCTCGCTTATCGAAAAGGGAAAGGGGGGCTATTCACGTAAGAAGGAAAAAGAACCCCAGTTTAAATCACATTCACCACCTCCACACGTGGCTAGCCACAGCAGGCTTAAGTGAATCCATCAGGATAGTTTAAACCTGGTGAATGTAAGCAAGTTCAAATACTTACGAGGTAATAAGTGGGGCACAGAAACGATAGCATCCAGTAGACAAGGTAGTAAAAAGGTTCATTAAATTAATGACCTTAGTAGCAACAACCACGGTCCTCAGTAACCAAATCGTGGAAGAGGAAGTAGGCTTACTCCAATTCATTGAGGAACGAAATCAAATATTCTGTGAATAATTCAACGGGAGAATGTGATGGTAATATAAACCTTACCACACATAGGAAATCGTAACTCGGCTAAATGGCTCAGACATTCCGCCTAGTACTATACTAATGAACCCCTACAGCAAAGGGATCACATACAGCCCCTTCACTTAATTAGCAGGACTTTTTTACGCCAATTCATACCCCTTTGTACAGTTTTGTACAATTTCGTAGTTTATTTTCTTATTTCTATTATTAGATGGCTTAACAGGGCACTTTTCAGCTTTATGCTTAGATCATTTGGCCTTAGGGTTAGGGTTAAAGAGCAAGAAAGTGGCGTAACACCCTAGGACTATATGTTAAGCTAAAAGTGCCACTATTTGTATAAAACCCATGTTTTTCGCTAATTGTGCGAAAGGGCTGTAGTTCACTCAAGGCACAAAAAAAGACGAAATGAGCACGTACGCATAAACAATAAATTCAAGCTAATCATAATCCACCCTCCCATACATATAAATAGATATTTATAAAAAAGTAAAAACATACGAGCGTCACCTCATTCCCATCATATTCAACCCCCAAACCCCAATGCTAGAGATCCAAAAAAGAAAGAAAGTCAAAAACAAAGCTCCGATAAAGCGCCATGGTATCTATCAAAAAAGGAAATGATCGTAAGATGGGATATCTATAGCCAAAAGAGGAGGTACATGAAAACAAGAACAGACATCACCAATGACAATCACTGTGGTCCGTAATAAGGTAGGTTTTGTGCTGGATGGCTATAGGCATTGTTGTTTGCCGGTGAGCGTGCCATAGGTGATTGTTGCTGATAACTCTGTGATGTGCTGACCGTCATTGGATCGTACCCAAATCCAGTGTTGCTTATACCCAACATATTTGCTGTTGGATATTGTGACTCCAGAGCTGGAGCGGATGTGAATTCTTGGGGCATGGAGAATACCGAATTTGGGGTATGATCAAAGTTGTGCGATGGAAGTTGGTGAGAGTAATTATTATCCAACGATCCATAAGGACGAGAGGGAGTTCGCTGATGCTGATATCCCGTATGGCCTGCTGTAAATCGAGCCTGGTTGATTAGGTTGAGACCCCCGGAGTCAAATGAACCAAACCCTCGAGGTTGTTGCTGCATCTGTTGAACCTCAAAGTTGTTTGGATTTGAATACATGTTGTTCTCGTTATACATACCCAAGCCCATTGAGGTTTGTAGCACAAAGTCATTAGTTGACCCGGCAGTTGGAAACTGAACAGAATGATCATACCCGGACGCAGGGAACTGTTGATGGTCGAGGGCCATGTGTGGAGATACACTACCCATTTTGAAAGGACTCGCTGATTCCATCTTTGTTCTGCCGATTGGAGTGACGGGAGTGTGATTTTGCTCTACGGGACTGATTATGGTGTTTGCATCGACACTTCTTAGCTCTACCAGTTTCAAGGTAGGTAAGCTGATGAGTTCCATATGCTTTGCGAGATGGACGGTTAGCTTTTTCCACGTCGTGAATGTTCTACCGCAGAACTTGCATGGCTCATCCTGTGGGCGATTTTTAGTCTCGTGATGGCATTGTTCCAACATCCTCCAAGCCGGCTCTGTCAAGCGAGCCTTTTTGATGGCAGCTTTGGTCTTTTGTTTCGGCTCTGGCAATTTATGTTCTCGAACCAAATGCTGTAAAAAGTTATCCTTACGATAACAAGGGTGTCTACAATCGTCAACCTGACAAATCCACCATTCCAGGTGGCGGTGACGTTCATTCTCATGTCGAACCCAATCAGCCTTTCTTTTGAATGATTTTGGCTCCTTGCACTTATCATAAGTACAGGTAAAGGGCTGAACATCCTCATGAACGTGTTTTGTCCAATCCGAAGGTTTTTGAAACTTCTTTGATTTGAAACACAACTGACATTCAAACTCTGCAGGGAGGTTTCGAGTTGGTGGCATGGGAACACCGGGAGGAAAGGTCTCTTCCGTAAGAGCCCGTTCGCCGTGATTCGAGTCATCATCAGAAAAGTCAGTCACCAGTTGAAGGATTGGACCGGGTTGATCAGGTGGCTCGGGATTTCCTTTTATGTCAAGTAGTGTAGCCGATCCACCCATCGAAACGCAATGAGTCCCAGCTGAGCAGCTACGATTCGAGATGGCTTGTGAGTGCTTCACTCGTAATTCTAGCAAACTCTTATAGCGAATCTCCTGCTGGTGAGCTATTCTACTCACAAGCCAATTATACCGAGGTTCCATCTCTGGATTGAGACGCCGGACATGAGCTTTAAAGCCATAGTAGTTGGCAATGATGGGGTCGGCTTGCTCTCCTTCTGCCTTTAAATCGCCTTCATCCACTTGATCGTCGTCATCGTCGTCTTCGTCATCTTGGTCTTGAACATCTGCTTGTCTCGCCTCGGTATCTATGGGTGGTGAGGCCAATGTAGGAACAGGTGGACCCCCATTTACTCTCCATAGTCCTGCAATCCCGCTGTTTGTTTGTGTTGAAGTAATGTCACTTCTGCTTCGAACCCTGGTAATCACCCTTTCAGGCCAACCAAGATGAATTGGGCTTCTGGGAGAGGCTTCCTTGGCACTAACCGAGCCATTGCGTGCATGAGTTGTTCCAATGGCAGCAAGTGGGCCTGCCATGGCGGCCAGGGCGGTGTTGATGCTTGGGGTTTGGCGTTTGCCAAAGCTTGAAGTTCGTGGAGGAGGAGCTAGTGTACCTGCGCTGTTTTGTCTCGAGGCGGGTTTTATAGTACCATCCTCGGTAATATTCTGGGAACTGTGGCTCCGCTTAAGCTTACTGTCGCTGTGCTTGCGAACAAGATTCGCTAAAAAGCCTTGACCACGCAAACGCCCAGTTTCCGGGGCTTTGGTGATTGTCAACTTTCTAAGAAAGCTTCCATCACCTACCGCTTCCAGATCAGCCAGACTGGGTTCGCTGCGACGACGTGTACCCCACGTTGCGGCTCTTGATGCAATTGAGATGGTATCTGCATGTTGTCTGAATTTTTCCATCGCTGCATTGGAAGTTTGAGGCTGGAAAACGGTCGTCAAGATGGTGGGTACCGTTGGAGCATCATTCCAATGACGAGGCTGGCTCATGAGATATTGATCATGCTCATTCACGGTGGCCCCGTTCTTGGGATGGAAATATACCTGACCGTCAACCAATTTGTTTTCACGAATACTTGCAGCATCATCGACTGCGTTGATGTAATCATGAGTTTGGCCTTCAGCAGGATCCCGGTGACGGCGAGCACCGGATTCTTGATACCAGGTGGGATTGTTCGGTGGAAAATACGACTGTGCAGACCGTTCATCTTCTGCCTCACTGCTGGCCCCAGCTCGTGAGCGCCATTCATTTACTTCGATGTTCTTGCTTAGAATGCGACGTCGCTCTTCTGCCTCGTCTAACGTTGGGACGAGCTCGTCGGCAAGGTCCCGACGGCTCTCAGGGTCCAACCCCGCTTGGCCCGTTCGTTGGTTCGACATCCACGATCCGTCATCGGCACGCGCCACAGGCAGTCGTGAGCTTGGGAGCACGTCCTGCTCTACGAAATGTGTCGCAAAATCCTCCGCAGACTTAAACGGAACGTCTGGTTGAACAGCATTGCGAGGCTGATTGTGTCCACGCCCATGCCCCCATTGCGAGACCATTACATGCGGGCTACATTCAGAAGCCACCATGGTGCTGGGTTCAAGGCCTTCGGCGCTGGTATGACTGCTACCACTCTGATCCGGAGTCAATTGGGTGTTGGTGATGTTGCCCGTGTGTACGCTTCCTTCCGCTGTCTGATAATTATGGTTGTACAAATCGTGATTCAGCTCGTGTTGCGAGATGGTATTATTCGACCTGAGCCCGTTCGACAGCTGCCCTAGCGACGGTGTGTTTGGTATGCTGGAATGAACGGGACTGAGAGGGTATGTCGAGGCCGTATACGTGCCTGCAACAGACCTGCTTCCAGGTCCTTTGGGGAGGTCTGGTAGAGCACGATTGAGGTTTGGAGGCTGGTACGAAATGGGATTTGTGAGATTCGATGGAAGAGAGTCTGTTCGAATTACGCCTGCGTCGAAGTCCACGCCGAGAAACGGGTCTTCCAATTCACTGAAGTCGCTTGTTTGGTAGCTATAGTCGGAGATGCTTTCGCCAGGGGTGCTACTCAGGTGGTTCAAGGGGCTGGCGGAATTACTGACGGTATGTGAGGAAGCAAAAGGAGGGAGGTGATAGTTGTTGGTCTGCGTTGAGGTGAAGGAGGTGTTGTACAATTGAGGATCTCTGAGACCAACGTCGGCATGAAACTCTCGTGTGCCTTGAGCATCAACGAAAGTGGAAGGGTTGTAAGTTGTTGAAGACATCTGTATGACGGAGTGGAAACAGGTAGAAGGAGGCTATGTATCTTGTCGTAAGACCTGATCCGAGTGGTGGCTCGCTGGCCTGGCCAAAATGCGTTTGGGTTGCGATCAGAGGAGGACTTGGTGCTGGAAAGAGATCATGTTGCGGAGTGGAGCCTGAAATTGGAATGGGATGGGATGGGAAGGGAATCTTGGGTGTAAGTGTAGCGTAGCGCTGGAATTGGGGGCAGCGCGTCTGGACAGTGACAAGCGACGGGTACAAATGTCCAAATATAGCAATCACAGGTGTAGTAGTCGTCGAAGCGGAACTCAGGCGCGAGGGCAATGGGGCGATCGGTACCAGGACGGGGATGTTCAAGTCAGTACTCAGTCCTCATCCAGTGGGTGGTCAACAATCAACAATGGAGTCGTTGATGCGCGCTTGAGCTTGAGCGTGAGCGTGAGTTTGAGTTGAAAATTAGCAAGTGCTGAGAAGGAGCGATATGATGCGATGCGGAAGCTTGGTCTGATGTGATGGGATGGGATTCGGGATAGACGCCGCGGGAAGTGGAGATGTTCAGCATGGATATACCTAGGATACTCGGTAGACTTGCGTAGCCTGGATAGTGGGCAATTGACTTCTGTAACTGTGATGAAAGCGCAGCGCAGCGCAGCAGGTCAACGGGGTCTTTCAAACACTGGCACTGTTGTTGGCGTAGTGCGATGTGAAGT